AAGAAATGCTTGGATCCAAAGGGTCTGCAAACTCAGACAAACCCACATCTTGAATCACAATCCCTCCCTCCCCAAACAGCACCACAAAGTTCCCTTCCCAAAGCACCCAAAGCATTTTCCCCTCTCGTTTTCCAGGGACACAAACTGGGATGTTCATGCAGAGATTGGAGCCATCCCAGTCAACCCCAGGCAGCAGAAAGAGCAACTCTTAGAGGGCTCCAATGCTATTCAGAAAGTATTGCCTTAAAAACAGGCACCACTGCCTAAAGGTTTTGTTGCACAGTGATTTTCAGATGCAATTTTAAGTGGTTATTTCAGTTGCATTCAGAGCCAAGGGCAGGGTCTGGGCTCTCCCCCCCTGCCCCCAGGAGGGCTGGGGAGAGGAGCAGACCCACCTCCTGCAAACATCTCATCTCCAGCTGGGTTTGAGACCTACCAGCACAACAGCAGGTTTTTTGGGGATGCTTTCCTTCATATCAGAGCTGATTAATTACTGGAGTTTGCTGAAATCCCAGCCTTAAGCTGCTCTGGCTGCTCTCTAGCAGCACAGCTGCCTTCTCCTCTCACACTTGAGAGACTTTGTATTTACCAAGTATTAATGAGATGAATGTTAAGCACCATTTTTCCAGGCAGGGGAAATAATCTGTTCTCTCTCTCTCTGTGCCCTGGAACAGGCCCATTTTGGGACAAGTCTGAAAAGGAAGCAGGTAGAAGTGGTTCTTCCTTGCTCTGCACATCTGCCACTTGCCATCTTTCCCTGCTTTTTGCTGCCACTGGTGAGAAGCACTTCACTAGACCTGAAAAGGCAAGAGCCTGGTGGAAGGAGGAGCTGGAGGCTGGGGAGGGACCATCCCACTCATGAAAGACCAGCTTTGTGATAAACACAGGACCCCAAAATGGGACTTGATAGGATTAATCCACTGCTTCTGAAGGAAATGAAGTCCCCACCTGGAGTACTGGATCCAGTTCTGGAGGCCCCAACACAAGAAGGACATGGAGCTCCTGGAGAGGGTCTAAAGGAGACCATGAAAATGATCCCAGGGCTGGAGCAGCTCTGGAGCCAGGCTGGGAGAGTTGGGGTGTTCAGCCTGGAGAAGAGAAGGCTCCAGGGAGACCTTAGAGCACCTTCCAGTGCCTGAAGGGGCTCCAGGAAAGCTGGGGAGGGACTTGGGACAAGGGCAGGGAGGGA